AAGCAGAATACGGGAAATTAGAGAGCTTGTCCCTTTATCCTAGGTATGCTTTTACATTGTTATTATATATTAAGTAATCCATTTTTGTTTATATCATCTTTATGCATGCAAATCACATGCAATGAATGTTGTGCACGTTTGGCTTTCTTTGGCATTGCAACAAATCTTGTTACCTATCTTACAACCAAGCTACATGAAGGAAATGTCTCTGCTACAAGAAATGTCAGCATTTGGCAAGGCACTTGTTATCTTACTCCTCTCATTGGAGTTGTTCTAGCAGATGGTACATATTACATGATAAATATTGAGTGCATTAATGGTCAAAATGTTCTAATTAGGCAACTAATTATAACTAAAAGTCTACAACCTTTTCATTTTGTAGTTGTTCTTTTACCATATGATACATATTAATTCTGCATAAGATGAAGTAGATGATGGTATTTGAGCAAGAAAGCACCTTGTTGAGTATGAATTTGTAAAATCCTTGTAGTCTCTATTATGTGGTCTGAAGTTTGTAAGGTATGCATGCCATTAATCAGAAATTGTGTGAATGATGTCTTATAATTGTTTATGAAATATAATTTACATATCACATATATGCATACTTAACCCTGTTACTCTTTTGTAACTTTAGGTTGGAGGGAGAGATTCAACAAGGCAAGACATGGGAGGCAAAAACTATGGAGCAGCAGGTCCTGTAAACATTCATTACACTCTGACTTGAGTACTATACATATATATATACCCATCTAAAATCTTGTCTACATACAAGGAACATGTGGTTTTTTCATTCCTTTTTAAATGTTTGGGCTTATTTAGTCAAGCTTAAGTTGGATTCGTTCAGGCAATTACAGTAACAAAGGTGAAAGCGCGCGGTGGCATCTCTAAAAAGAATACTAGCACCAATTATCAGAGCGGTGGCATCTCTAACCAATTGGTGTATCAACCTCAGCTTATCAGGTTCTTCTCTTTACGTTTCTTCCTTTTCATGTGAGAATTCCATTAATTTGATTTTGTTGCTGATTAAGTATTGGTGATTCATGTACATTTCATATGGTAACAAGATATGACCCAAAACAAAATGCCTACCATTCAAACTACATGAATTATTAATTGATATCACATTGGTAAGGCCTAAGGCTGCTTGTGTTGATTTAAAAATTTCAGAATACATATCTAATAACATAATAAACATATATAATGTTTTGTGGGGGTCATTTTTTAGTTACGTGCACATTTTTTTTATATGTTAATTTTAGTTAATTTTATAATGTTTTGTGTTGATTACAGGGGCACGTTGCATAAATAGAGAGAAAAGAGGTTCAGAAGAGGAGGTTGGAATTTGGGCATTTTAGGCATTTTGGGCTTATCAATTGTGAGAGAACAGCACCATTCGAAAGTGCTGATATTATTTTCTTCTTTTAAAGTTGATTCATTTTCTGTATCTAGAGCTTTTCCTGTTCATATTCTTCAGTGTCTTTTCTTTTACATGAATTCAATGTTGTACTTGTCTTTCTTTTTCATATATAATACAGAAAATCCAGAAGTTTTCTGGGCCAATTCCTCTTGTGTCTCTTTTCATTAAGTACCTACTGATCCAGTTCCCTGCAAAATGGATGACATAAACTTTGCGGCATTCAATTTGCTGAGGAAAGAAACCATGTTTAACAAGAGTGTTTGTGATAGATATGAAGAAGAGGAGTGGCATGGAATAATATTGCATTGAAATGTTAACATACAAAAAAGCATGTGCACGTAACTAAAATTGACATATTATTTTTCACTAAAATTAACATAATAAACCTCTCGTAAGGTCTGTTTTTTTTTTAAATAAAATAAACATGTTGTGGAGGTCTATGCGTTCCACCAAGTGACAAATATTGTGGGGGTTTAGAACCTCCAGAAAGTGTAACATTTGTGGGGGTCTAGAACCTCCAAAAATTATTCCAACAAATTTGTGGCACTGCACAAAAAACCCCCACAAACTATGTTGTGGCGAAAGCAGAACTGGGGGTTTGGGTGAATGCCACAAATGTCTTTTGTGGGGGTCAAAAACCTCCACAATATGAAAATATGACCTCCACAAAATGCCTGAATTTTTGTAGTGACCATTGATCTTTTTTGATCTAACGACTCCTAGATGAGGTGTCAAACTTCAAATTTAATACCGGTGTCAAAGGATCCTACCTCATATATATATATATATATATATATATATATATATATATATATATATATATATATAGAGAGAGAGAGAGAGAGAGAGAGACAATAGGGTTGTATTGATAAACTACACTATGTCTGAGTGGTAGCACTCTATTCAAAAGTGTCTTACTGGTCAGATATAAAATATTTATAAGAATTTGTAAACAAAAAATTTATAAATATAATCTTTCCAGTATATATTAAATTGATCCTTTCATCCAAAGTTTTATGTTTCTTGTAACTCTTACGAAGAGCCAACCCTACAAATGAAGAGCCACTTTATTTATTTTGTCTTTTCTGGATCACCTTGTTTTTTATATTCAAGTATTTAGGCCGCACCTTGTGCGTCGGTTGCATGTTGGAAAATTATTGGCAAACTGTATATGTACAGTTTTGCTATATGAAAAAAGGGGTACATAAATCTTATGTTGTAGGAATAGTCATCTCTTATGCTAGTGAGAGTTCGATTTTCGTGTTAATATTTTCTTTTATTTTCCTTTTTTATTTAAACTAGTAGGCCCACTTGATTGTGCGTAGGAAAAAAGCTATCTCATATTACATGAGAAAATGCAACCCCACGAAAGAAATTGAATCGATCCTTTCCCCAAAGCTTAATCTTTCTTTTAGTTCTTACCAAGAGCCAACTTTACAAATGAAGTAAGAGCCACTTTACTTGTTTTTATTTATTGTTTATTCTGGGATCACCTTTGCTTTTAGGGTAAATGATTTCTCAAGTGATCCCGGAGATAAAGTTATCTCTAGTGAGCTCAAAACGACGTCGTTTTGGAACGAAAATCAATGTATTTTTATAATTATAATATATTACAAGATTATAGTAGTCTTTGTCTTTATAATTTTTTAATCTTATAACCCAATATGATGCCGTTTTAAGTTCACTGAAGATAACTTTATCTCTGATTAATTGAGAAATACTTTTCCCTTCCTTTTATACTCAAATATTTAGACCGCACCTTCCACATAGATTGCATGATAGAAAATTACTGGCGTCCTATATATGCAGTTTTGCCATATGAATGAAATTAAATCAATCCTTTCGAAATTAATACGGAACACGACATGATACAATATTCTAATATATTAATTTTAAAAAATATTAGATTTTAATGTTAAGACACATTTTAATATTGAATAATATTTTAATTTATATAAGGAATATTATATTTAATATTCAATAATTTAACAAAAAAATAAAACTAAATTTATAATACCCATCAATTTTGTAAAGAGACATAAAATATCCAAATATTTATATTAAACTCAATAAAATTATAATTATAATCTAATGAATCTAATAGTTGAAACTAAAAATACAACACAACGCAATTTTTGAACTTCTTTTTTAGTTTCTGCAATGCGTGTTGAAATTTTAGAATATCGAAGAGTATCAAAAAGTGTCCGACACGACACATCAAATTTTTTGAAGTGCCAGTGCAGCTCCAGCTGTCCACAATATCTTATCCTCCTTTTTAACTCTTGCCATGAGCCTACCCTACAACTGAAGTAAAAGCCTCTATTTATTAATTTTTCTATTCTTTTCTGGGATCATCATAGCAATTATATTCATGTATAAGACCGCACCTTAGGTTACATGTTGGGAAATTCTTTATATATATATATATATATATATATATATATATGGGATAGGATCAACTTACACCGGTGTAAGAATAATAAATCTTACACCAAATCATAACCGTTGATTTCTGTGCATCGAACGGTTGAGATTTATTGGAAATTAAAAATTAATTAATGAGTGAGACCTAATAAATCTTAACCGTTAGATGTAGAAAATCAATGGTTAAGATTTGGTGTAAGATTTATTATTCTTACACCGGTGTAAGATGATCCTGCCCCTATATATATATATATATATATATATATATATATATATATATATATATATATATATAAAATGAAATAAAATTGATTCCTTTCCATAAAGTTGTATCTTCCTTTTCACTCTTACCAAGAGTCACTCCTAAGTAAGAGCTTTTTTTTATTTGTTTTCTCATTTATTGAATCGCCTTATATTAATATTCAATTATTCGGATTGCATTTTTTAGGTAGGTTGTGGGTATATTTAATGGACAATCATTTTCTCTTTTTAAAAGAAATTTATTTTTTCTTATTAATAACTCATGATATAAGTGGATCCTATCTTAATTTTTTCTCTTCATTATTTTATAAACCTCACTTATGCCATGAGTCATTAGTAGGAAAAAAATATTTAATTTGCTAAAACATCCAAAGCAGGACAACGCAAAATAATGATATTCTGTTCAAATGATATAAGTATAGTAAAAAATAAATCAAGAAATAATATAAATTTATAAATGTTTCTTATCTGTTAAATTAAGTTACAAAATGTTATTCTCAACACAAAAAGAGAAAAATAACATTAACCCCTACCCTTTCATTATTTTAGCTTTATTATGTGCAAAACAAAACAAAACACAAAACAATACCCATCAAATGCAATCTGCATATAGTCGTTATATAGAGTAATTTTAATGCACGAAACTATAAGAGTGATGTATATACTATAATACTAGTTGTATTTTGCATGTCCAATTTGTACCAAGTAACGTAATGTCATAACATGAATCAAATTAACGAGGGAAAAAACATATAAAAACAAGAGAAATGGAAACCAGAATGTGTAGAAGATTTTCTCATTACATCAAAAGACAATAAAACATAAGTGCGGTTTGTCTTTCACAAATATTCTTAGAAACTTGCTACTTATAATTCACTTCTCTTCCATACCCGGCAAAGAGAATGGAGAATAGAAGTGAAAAATGGAATTTTCAAGGGAACAAAGAACTGAATGCTTCAACCATAACTGTGGGAGGGGTCTATAACATGCTGATGGACAGCATCAACAATGAAGACAAGAGACCCGTTGTTCGTCTCGGTCGTGTAGATCCCACTGATAACCCTTTGTTTCGAACTTCCCCTGTAGCTCCTGATGCTGTTGCAATTGCCGTTCATTCCTATAACTTCAATTGTTACCCTCCCACCCTTGGCTTACCTGAGGCAAAGAGGTTTGTTCACTCTTGTCTATCTACTAAATAAAATGTTATCAAATCATGTAATAGTATTACTTTAGTAAAGTGTAATAAACTAAAAGGTTATATATTTTCATGTGTCCAAAGTTCTTTACATGGTATCAAAGCCTCGCTGTCCCCCACTCTCTCTTATGGAACTTCTTAGCATAGGTAAGCTGGGACTGTTGCATCATCCACTCTTCAAGTCCAATGGGCTCTTGTGTGAGGGGGCGTGTTGAGATATATAGTGCCACATTGGTTGTATGTGCAACTAATGTGTAAGGCCTTGGACACTCTCACCCTTTCAGCTAGCTTTTGGGGTGGTGTATCCCAAAGTTCTTTACAGAGGTTAAGTTTGATAAGTCTTTTATGTTAAATGTGACTAAAGTATCAAATCCATTAAATGATTAAATCATTTAAATCTAAACTAAAACCTCAAGAATTTTGACATTCGAATCTAACGTTCTGTTATATGATGCAATTTTGTATTAAACGAGTTTATGTTGAATTGGTGATGTACTACAATTCCCAAAACAGGGCTATTGCAGATCATCTATCTTCTGATCTTCCATACAAATTATCACCAGAAGATGTTTTTCTCACCATTGGTGGAACACAAGCTATAGATATAATCTTACCTGTCCTTGCACGTTCCAGTGCCAATATTCTCCTTCCAAGACCAGGGTACCCACAATATGAGTTTCGTGCCAATTGTTGTCTCCTTGAAGTTCGGTACTTTGATCTTTTGCCTGAGAGAGGATGGGAGGTTGACATTGATTCTCTTGAAGCTCAAGCAGATGAGAACACTGTGGCCATGGTCCTCATTAGTCCTAGCAGTCCATGTGGGAATGTGTTCACTTACCAACATTTAAAAAGGGTATATATATAGTCTTAAACTTACGTTGTTTGAGAATGGGAATTAAAATGTGATGATTTTTCACGACTCTTGTAGGTTGCTGAGACTGCAAGGAGACTTGGAATCTTTGTAATATCTGATGAAGTTTATGCCCATGTAGCTTTTGGAAGCATTCCATTTGTGCGGATGGGAGTGTTTTCATCAATAGTGCCTGTTATTACAATTGGTTCTTTATCAAAAAGATGGTTTGTTCCTGGTTGGAGAATTGGTTGGATTGCCACATGTGACCCCCATGGAATTTTTCAAAAATCTGGGGTTAGTTTTTTTTTTAATCTTTTTTCCCGCTATGATTATTAGTCTAAAAAAGGTTACTTTTTGTATTTTAAAGATTAATGGAACAAAGAATTTTTTAGCTTAGGCATCCTGATATTTGACTGACTATACTATTTGAATTATGAAATTATTTTCTTTCTTTACCAGATCTTGAAGAATATCATCAACTATCTGGAGATCACTCCTGATCCTCCAACCTTCGTGCAGGTAACCAATGGAAACTAGCATGAGCATGAATACAAGAGTAACAAAAAAATATTGTGACAAATTTGTTGTGACGTTGGTCCCTCAAATAAATCCGAAAGCAAATAAGCAAGTCGAGATCGAAGCTTGGCAATCATAGGGCGACCTGTAGTCATCAGGCCAGCCTTGCGTAACAGAAAACCAAAAATGTGCAGAGGAGAGAGACAGAGAAACACACAATCAATTTTAACGTCGAAAAACTTTTTCAATTAATTTGAAAAAGTAAAAACCATGGGACACTAGTCCTTAAATCTCTCACTACGAATAAAAGAAAGATTGCAAAGAGTCAAACTTCCCTAGTCTTTTACTAGAGGTACAATCAAGCATCACCAATAATGATGATATTTTCAAGTTTTTCTAAAGAGATTTCACTCAAATTTCTCTATGGAAGTATTTACTCAGGTTCAAACCCATTACAAGATCTTCAAGTGTGTTTATATAGAGGTGAGCGAAACCTCCACCTACTTTCAGAATCTTCTCACAATAATGAGGTGGTTGGGCTGTCTTGAGCCCTGCACCCAATAAATGAGAATCTTCTCACAATAATGAAGTGGTTGGGCTGCCTTGAGTCCTGCGCCCAATAAATGAAAGTGCATGCCAGCATTAATGGAAAAACACCACCCAACATAATTTAAATCCCTGTTTTCTTGGGCCTTTTTATAGATCAATATGCATACATTATTTAGAATTTAATACATATTTGTACTTTGTATACCCGTATACTTCTTTTCATTTTGTTTTCCCTTAAAACAAAAGTTACGGCTAGTTAAGTTTGCAGGCAGCAATACCTCAAATCCTTGAAAGAACAAAAGATGATTTTCATTCAAACAACCTTAATATACTGAAGGAGGCTGCAAACATATTCTATGATGGATGTAAGGAGATCCCTTGCTTGAGAAGCCCTCACAAACCCGAAGGAGCAATGGTTGCTATGGTAAGTGGCATGAAGTGTTTGAAGGTTTTCATCATGCTATAAATTCAACATGGGATCATCTTTAGAGAAGATCAATTAATGGTAAATTGAATGAAGCAGGTGGAGATTGACTTTTCACAAATTGAGGGCATTATTGATGATGTAGACTTTTGTACCAAGCTGGCCAAAGAGGAATCTGTAATTCTATTTCCTGGTAAGAATTTTCTCTACTAATCAGAATATAAGATTCATCAATTTCGCCAGAAAATGAAGTCATGATATGATAATTACTCTTTACTGATCAATAAACAATACTTGTAGGTGTTACTGTTGGATTAAAGAATTGGCTTCGGATTAGTCTTGCTGTTGACCTTTCTAATCTTGAAGAAGGCCTAAGCAGGATAAAAGCATTCAGCCTTCGGCATGCAAAGATTGCATAAAATCATGTTACCAAAGGGTTTTTGCGATCGAGACCATTTATTTGGCAATATATATATGTATGAAGATAATTGCATTTTATCTTATGATTTGATGCTCTGGATTTAAAAGTGAGTCTTCCCTATTCGACTGTTGTGATTGTGGTTCTTAATTATTATTTTATCAATAATGAGGGCTTTATTAGCCTTTTGGTTGTTGTGGTTGTTACTGTGTTATTATTCTTGAATGTTAATTTCAATTTTGTAAGATAGAGGGTGTGTTTGAATGTGTTTTTGTTTTTTTTATTTTTAAAAACTGTTTTGAGATAGAAGGTGTGTTTGAACGTGTTTTTGTTTTTTTTATTTTCAAAAACTGCTTTGAGAATGAAGTTTGAAAATTGATTTTGAGAATAAAAAAACAATAAAACTTGTTTTAATATGGTTAGTTTTAAAATTATAAAGAAGACGTAGTTATTTACAAAAATGCCATTAATGAATCCTCATATTTACAAAATTACCACCGCAAAATAATTTAAAATAAAATGAAAATTGATTTAATGACCAAAATGCCATTAATAAATCCCCTTAATTATAAAAAAGCCACCGCACAAAATAAGAAAGCAGAAAACAACCTTCGAAAACACCCTGGAGCTGTTTTACTTTTTCTGTTTCTAAAACAACAAAACAGAAACGGTTTTAAAAACAAGATGCGTGAAAACAGTCTTGTCAAACAAGTTGTTTTTTTTTAAAAAAAAAAAAAACAAAAAACTGTTTTACAAAACGGTTATCAAGCAGACCCGAGTTTTTGTATTTAGCAAGTTCCTATGTTTTTAATTCTTCTGAAGTTATTGGATTCTTCTAACAACGGTTTTGGAAATATTTTCGGAGGGCATTTGGTAGAAGTAGAAATTTTTTTATCTGGAAATCTTGATTTTTAAAAATATGATAAAAATATTCTATTTACGATAATATCCGAAAATTAAAAATTTAGAAAAATTCAATTTCCCGGAAATCTTGAAAAATACCGGCTAGCAAACGCCCAACTCTTGATGGTCCAATGCTATTAGGGTTTACAGTTTTGGCTAGTGTGATGAACAAGTCCTACTTGAGTTTGTATGCACATCTTATTCTTCAATTTTTTTTTTTTTTATGATATTTAACATGCTAACGTCATTGAGTGTTCAAATAGATCAGTAACACAATGGCTTCGTGTAATGGCTGTAGAATTGAAACCACCTTAATTACTATCTCATCCTTGATTTAAGATAAATAATTTTGTTAGAATCTTAGTAAATCGATGTTAATGATTTTATAATTTACTAAGTAAATATTTTTTTTTCTCTTTGTTTGTCACTATCGATTCATTCTTATATGATTAAGATTTTTCTATATAATATAATCATGTTAAATAATAAATGAAAGAATCCACTCACTAGTATGTTGCACCGAAAAAGTATTGCCACTATGGCAGTTTTATTTTATTTCTTTTAAATAAAAATAATTAATAAAAACTAAAAGTGTTTTGGATAAATCCAAGCCAAATCAAACAGTCAACGGTCTGACCAGCTTAAATCGAACCAAATCTATCTTTGTTAGTTTGGTGCTCCAATTTATCAATATTTAACCAATACGAAAAAGCATGGTTTTCAACATAAGAAATTAAACATTTTATTTTGATGCAATCATGCCTAACTAAAGTTTTCATAGATGTGGTATAAGAAAAGAAAGAAAAAACTAACACATAGGATGATTGACCATTGTGCCCCTGTTAAATTTTTTTTTATCACTTTGTCCCTTTTTTAAAATTATATATTAATTTTAACATTTTATCAAAATTATATACACATGATTTCAACAAAGTGTTATAGTCAAGGACTTAGGCGATCAAAGAAACGAAGACTTGAAAGAAAAGCCTTCTCCACAGCTAAGGCGCCCTTCCTGTTGTTACCGTGGCTACGGCAGAGTGATCTATACACGAGAAGAATTTGTCCTTGTTTGACCATGTTGACGGACTGTTACTCGAATAAATGACTTATTAAAGTAATTAGTAACTCAGACAAGTTGATAACTCAAATTTGGATCCACAAATATTATTGATTCAAACCAAGTTTTAGGGCCCGTTTGGATGAGCTTTTTTTTTTTTTTTTTTCTAAAAGTTATTTTTTTTCTTGAAAAAAAGCACTTATCATCTTTAGTGCGTTTGGATGTATGCTTTTAAAAAAAGCAGAAGTCACAAAAAAAGTCAAAAACTTACTTTTTTCAGAAGCTAAAAATTTTAACTTCTAACAAAAAACAAAAGTCAAAAGCCAAATATTTTTTTCAAAAACTAAATATTTTTATAAAAATATAAATAACTTTAACTTTTATAAAAATCACTTCTAAATTAAGGAAGAGATAAAAGTTACTTTTTTAAAAAGTTGAAACAAACGAGCTCTTAATATGTTGTACATGTATAAATGGAATTTGGATGAGTGTTTGTAAGTGCTTTACAATTGAAGGCAGTCCATGTTTAATTCAAGGTGTCAAAATATGATTTTATCATTATAAAACACTAAATATCAAATTGAGAATAGTACACAGAAAATGGAAAAAAAAATAGGAAATGCCAGTAAGGAACAATAAAACACTGTAGTTTAGTTTGACAAACTAACCAAATTTGATTTATACTTGTTCGGGATGGCCGAACAATACAGCGGCCCAATGGTTCAAGTCTAATCTCAACTCCCTATCCACGTCAGTCCTACAAGTTGTCAAGACCCCCCAACCCCTGACCAGACGACTCTCCTTAGGAGAAGCTCCAAAATGTCCCACCTTGGGACCCTAAACTCTAAAAGTGACCGCCACAGATACCATAAGAGGAAACTGCCCTTTGTTCCACGCTGACACCGCCAGGCACAGGGGGCGCAGCGCGGCCATCATAGCAGCGTCTACCACACCCAGCACTGCCACCCTTGGCAGATCCCAAGGAGGGTTGATCCCTTCCTCACCAACCCACACCAGATTCACATCATCCTCCCCTATAAATAGCCTCTTGGGCACACCATGAAGGTATATTATGTATCGTTATTCTACCCATTTACATTGAGTCACACATTCACACACCTAACCCCATTGTTGATTGCTTGCTTCATACTTGGAACAGTGCCTCTTAGGTATCTACCTGTACTAAGGATATCATCCATACAGTGACTTAATCTCCAAAGGGAACATAATAAGCTTATAGATTCCAACGGTACAATACTAAATGGAATCATTTGAGTGCAGTTGCTGATGAATTCCGGTGGTTGCAGGTTGTCTGTGCGTGTTCATGGTGAAGCAGGGGATCCTGATTTGAAAGGATGGTTGGGGTCAACGGTAACGGTGATTGGATGAAAATATATAACCCTTCTATAGAGTGATATAGTGGACAAAACTATGACAAGCAAAGTTATATTTTGTATGTACAACTTATCCAAGTGACATAATGTCATAGCACAAGAAGCGTATCAGCAATAAAAAACTCATATAAAAACAAGAGACATGGAACCCACATGTGTATATGTTAAGGACTTAAGGACAGACAGTGATAAAACACAAGTAGGTCAGTGGTCCACAACTTGTGCAGTTTATCTTTCCCATATGGCATTATTATTTTTCGTAGTTGCTCTTTATAATTCATTCTTAATTTTATTCAGTTGGCATTATTATTTTTGGTTGTTGCAATCTCAGATACCATATCTTGCAAAGAGAATGGAGAACGGAAGCGAGAAATGGAATTTTCAAGGGAACGAAGAGCTGAATGCTTCAGCTATCTCCGTGAGAGGGGTCTATAACATGCTGATGGAAAGCATCAACAACAATGAAGACAAGAAACCCGTGATTCCTCTCTGTCGTGTAGATCCCACCGATAACTCATTGTTTCGGACTACCCTTGATGCTACTGATGCTGTTGCAAATGCCCTTCAATCCTTTAACTTCAACAGTTACCCTCCCTCCTCTGGGGGCTTATATGATGCAAGGAGGTTTGCTCACTTTCCTCTTATACTAAATAAAATGGTATCATATTATGTAATAGTAATTACTTTTTTTTTTTTTTGGTAAATAATAGGGCAAAGCCCAGAAAACAAAGAAAACTAAGAAATCAACAGAATACAGGCTCTCCCAACAGAGGAGACATCCGCTAAATACAGAAATAAAATATCACTTGGAGGCTCATGAACAAACACAACATCCACATCTTCCTCTTTATCCAAAATAAAATTGGTCATCCAATCCGCACACATGTTCCCTTCTCTGTAGGTATGACTAAGCTTAACCCTCCAATCTTTTTTGAACCATGTCCGTATGCGAGTGACAAGATGACTCTCACGAACTGTAGTAATTACTTTAGTAACTAGTAATAAACTAAAACCTTATATATATTCATGTAGTATAAGTTTGCTAACTCTTAACAGTAAATGATACGTCCCCACCTTTCAAGCAAGAGAAATAAGTAGGTTGGAGAATCATGCTAAGTCAAAAAGTTTGTTAACAAAGAATATTCTAGAGAAAGCTAAATAGAAAACAGTTAGGGACTTGGACATTGGCCAGAAATTCACAGTATAAATAGGAGTATGAAGGGAAAGTCTGGTATCTGGAATCTTTGGAAAATATTGGGATCCTTTTGGATATTGGGAGAGATCAACACCTCTCGAATGTGTTGAGCTTAATTTTACTCTTTTATAGTAACTGTAGTCAATAGTAGAATTTGCCTTGTAATGGAGTTGAGTATCTGATGTTCTTCTTCTTTCATTTTTGGATTGTAATCTCCTTTCCATATAATACAGAAAATTCATAAAGTGTTCTTTCAGGGCCAAAATCGCTGTTCTTCTTTTCTGTTATTGTTTTTCTCTGATCTGGTTCCTATCAGTAAAGAACAAATTTAACCCAAAAATGTAAGTTGTTCGATGATGGTTTTTTTAATAGTTTATATTTTTCTCTACCAGAACCCCTCACACTAGAGTCATTTGAGCTTGAAGCGTGGATATTGCACAGACTCAATATTTGATTTACCTTGTACTTTACTTAATTCCAAAGTGAAGGGCGATGAGGATTGAAGTCGTGACACTCATGTAAAGAATCAATTCAATTCAAAGGCTTAAACTTTAGAGTGAAGGTCCATCAATGATTTTTCTTTATATTATATCTCTCTTATACTCACCATTTAAGTTTTTGGATTGAATTGATTCTTTACATTAATAAATGATTAAATCATATAAAGACCATGAGCACATGCACATTCAAATTTTTTTAGCTCAATTTGAGGGTATACTTCGTTCCTGGTGGATTATTGGTATAATGGTGTTTGGTAATCTAACAATTGAATTGGCATGTGTAATTTCTCGAGCCAAAAAATCAATTTAATATACTTTTATGTTGATTTGTTAATATACTATACTTCCCAAAACAGGGCAATTGCAGATTATCTCTCTTCTGATCTTCCAAACAAGTTATCTCCAGAAAATGTTTTTGTCACCGCTGGTGGCACACAAGCTATAGATATAATCTTACCTGTTATTGCACGTCCCGGTGCCAATATTCTGCTTCCAAGACCAGGGTACCCACAATATGAATCACGTGCCAATTGTTGTCTCCTTGAAGTTCGGTACTTTGATCTTTTGCCTGAGAGAGAATGGGAGGTTGACCTTGATTCTCTTGAAGCTCTAGCAGATGAGAACAGTGTGGCCATGGTCCTCATTAGTCCTAGCAATCCATGTGGGAATGTTTTCACTTACCAACATCTAAAAAGGGTACATATAGTCTTAAATTTAAGTTTTACTGTTTTGAGAGTGGGAATCAATTATGTGATGAGTCTTTGTAGGTTGCTGAGACAGCAAGGAAACTTGGAATCTTTGTAATTTCTGATGAAGTTTACGCCCACGTAGCCTTTGGAAGCAATCCATTTGTGTCCATGGGAGTGTTTTCATCAATAGTACCTGTTATGACAATTGGGTCTTTATCCAAAAGATGGTTAGTTCCTGGTTGGAGAATTGGTTGGTTTGCCACATGTGATCCCCATGGAATTTTTCAAAAAACTGGGGTTAGTTTTATTTATTTTCTTAAATTTTTTTGTCCTTAGGATTATTAGTTTAAGAAAGTTTACGTTTTTTATTTCAAAATTGAGTGACTCTACTATTTGAATTATGCAATTGTTTTCTTTCTTTATCAGATCGTGACGAATATCATCAACTATCTCGGGGTCAATAGTGACGCTCCAACCTTCTTGCAGGTAACCAATGAAAAATAGCTTATGCAAAATACAAGAGTAATGGAAAAATTGTTGTAAAATTACTGTTTTCTTTGGCCGAATAGATCAATATACATACATTCAGGATTTAATACATGTTTGTACATTGTTATGCCGTATCCTTTTTTAGTTTTGTTTTCCCTTAAAACAAAATTTACGGCTGGTTAGTTTTGCAGGCAGCGATACCTCAAATCCTTGAGAGAACAAAAGACGATTTCTTTTCAAAAAATCTTAATATAATGAGGGAGGCTGCAAACATATTCTATGATGGATGTAAGGAGATCCCTTGCTTGAGATGCCCTCACAAACCAGAAGGAGCTATGGTTGCTATGGTAAGTGGCATAAAGAGTTTGAATGTTTTCATCATGCTATAAATTCATCATGGGGTCATCTTAGAGAAGATCAATTAATGGTAAATTGAATGGAGCAGGTGGAGATAAACTTTTCCCAACTTGAGGGCATTATTGATGATGTGGACTTCTGTACAAAGCTGGCCAAAGAGGAATCTGTACTTCTTCTTCCCGGTAAGAATCTTCTAATGTCATTAGAATCTTAGGGCTGTTTGGTCGGGGAGAAAAAAAATTTCACTAGAGAAATATAATTACTAGGAAAATTGTTGGAAAGTGATTTTAGTAGGAAAGTTTGAAAAAAGTTGTTTGGTACGCGAAAATATTACTGGGGAAATTGGGTTAAATTTTTCGAGTGTATGTTTAGTTGAAGTTAAAATATTGATGGAAAAATTGATTAAAAATACTAAAATATCCTTTTTTTTTTAACTTCTTGAATGTGAATTACCGTTGGACATTTTAGTTTGAATATGCTTCCCCTTCTTGCCCATTTAGCCGAACAATCACAAATACTACCTCAGAATTGTCTTTCTAAACAGTGTTTTTTGCAAGCAAATTTCAAATGCTATGCAAATGTGGTGTCTGGGGAAAAATTACAATTCTCTCTACCAAACATGACTTGCACAATTTCCCAACCTCAAATGCATAGGAAAGCATTTAGAAACCCTGAATCAAACGCCACCTTAGATTCATCAATTTCGAGAAGAAAATAAAGTCACGATGATAATTTCTCTTTATTGATCAATAATACTCTTGTAGGTGTTACTCTTGGACTAAAGAATTGGCTTCGGATTAGTCTTGCTGTTGACAGTTCTGACCTTGAAGATGGCCTTAGCAGGATAAAAGCATTCAGCCATAGGCATGCAAAAATGCCATGAAATCATGTCACACTGGAGGATTTGGTGGTGGGGGAGGTGCAATTAACACTTAGTTGTGTTATATTCTATCGAGACCTTTTATTTGGCAAAAATATGCATGAAGATAATTGGATTTTATCTTATGATTTGATACTCTGGATTTGAAAATAAATCATGTGCATTCTACTGTAGCGTTGGTGGTTCTTATTATTATTACTATTAGCAATAAAGAAGGGCTTGATCAGCCTTTACTTGCTGTGGTTGTTGTTGTATTATTATTCTTGAATGTTGGTTTCAACTTTGCCTAGATAGTGTTCGTTTATTTCGCAATTAATGTTTTGTCCATATGTCTTTGCTTTTCGGAATGCCAAATTCCTATGTTTTTGGTTTTTTTACGTTATTCATATGGTTTAGAAAAGAAACCCTATGAATCTATGACACTACAATCTTTCGTTCTGACCCTTGATACAAGGGAAGCCTTACAGCACATGGGTTCAAAGTTTTCATAAGGCATAAGCAGGGCAAAGCCCTTGCAATGAGAAGAACTCTCTCATTAATTGCAAAGTCCTGAAATTTCATTAATTGTATTTTTGTTTAAAAGTGACTTTATTTTTTATGATTAAATTTTTTATCTAATTAATCCCTCTTTATCAAGATTAAATTCTTAATCCACTCCCAAATTCACATCTGCAAGTGACATCAACAATAAAGGATTACGTATTTAATTTTACTGTCTACTCATTTTTTTTAACATATAATCTCATGTAAATGACTCAAATCCCTCGACATTAGAACAACCCATGTTTACTCTTATATTTTTTTTTTTTTTTGGTTAACACTCTTATATATTTTAAATTATGAACAATAACCAACTAACTAAATAAACAGCTATTGTCTTTACTATTCCATTTTTCTTTGCTAGGTCCTTTTAGCCTCTTTGCATATTCCTCTATGTGCCGAGAGAGTTTTTCTTCTTCTTCTTTTGGATAAATTACATATATTCTTCACAAGATACAATCTTGTTTGGAGCAAGTCCAATATTAAAATTTTAATTGCACTTGATGTATTGTGGGTTGAGTCGAATGGGCCGACTCAGATTGAATTGACACTTCTAATCAATGTTGTGAAAATCGGACCAGATCGGCTGGGTTGACCTGGAACTTGGTGAACCGGTCATTTGACCGGTCCGGTTATCACATTGAATCGGTCAAGTATCAGACCCATTACGGCCCGGTGCGACCCGACCGGTTTTGGTGAAAAATCGGTGACCTGGCCGGGTTTTAAAAAAAAAGTTTAAAAAAAAAAGTTTTCCAAAAAAAATATCATAATTGACATATTTGAGTGATCTGTTACTTATTGACTTACATAAGTTATGTACCTACAATATTAATATTATCTCAGTTATGCACTATGCAGGAAATTTTGATTTGATAGTTAGAGATGTCGTTTACCGAACCTGAAACACCAATATAACAAACATTATCTGTTTGTTTGATCCTTTATTGGATAATAATGTATAATTTATTATTTTTATATTAAAATATTTAGAATTTATATTATTTTTCCAGCTATTTGAGTATATTTATAACTTTTTAAATATAAATTATAAATTTATATATAAGAGTAAATACTCTTTTTGATCCTCAGCAAATTTCACGATGCCCGCTTTAGTCCCTAGCAAATAAAAAGGCTATTCGTGGTCCCTAAGCAAATCAAAATGGACCCATTTAGTTGAGATCGTGGTTCTTCACAAATTCAAAAAAGACCCACATTAGACCCTCAAAAGGACTAAAATGGGTCCACTTTGATTTTTTTAAGGACCACGACCGGGTCATTGACCGGGCCAGTTTTAATAACATTGCTTCTACTTATAATTATAGTTTTCAAACATGTTATCACTTCATCGAAGCCCACAAACATTTTAATAAAATGTTGTATATTTTCTTCACTCATGAGACCGTTTACATTGGCGATAAAAAAGATAAATAATTAACTTACAAATTAATTAAGATAAGGATACATAACAAAATTAGTTATCCTTGTTCCTAATACTTCCTCTAATTTGGAGAATGAATGCAACAAAATATTTAACTTGCCAAAGGGTTTTTGTGAGGTGGGGGGAGGGGGTGTTGACTCCTTAGGTATCATGCTACAGAGAACATTCACTACTAGAAAAGTCAAGATTTTCGACGAAAATTTTTGACGGAAAATATTCCGTCCAAATTAAAGATGGAAATTTCAACGGAAAATGTATTCCGTCGATAATTTTTGACGAAAATGATTTTTCGTAAAAAATATTCGACGGAAATATGATTCTGTCGAAGATTTTCCACGAAAATTTGATTCCGTCGAAGATTTTCCACGGAAAAATAATTCCGTCGAAAATAATTACAAAAAAATAAATCGAAAAGAAATTAATTTTATAAATTTTTCGACGGAATTTTGATTCCGTCGAAGATTTTCCACGAAAAAAGAATGTCGTCGAAATCAATTTCAAAAAAATAAATCTAAAAATAAATTCATTTTATGAAATCTTCGACAGAAAACGGATTCCGTCGAATATTTACCACGGAAAAGGGATTCCGTCGAAGTTATCCACGGAAATGAAATTCCATCGAAATCAATTTCAAAAAAATAAATCAAAAAAGAAATTAATTTTATGAAATCTTCGACGGAGAACTAATTCCGTCGAAGATTTTCCACGGAAAAAGAATCCCGTCGAAATCAATTTCAAAAAAATAAATCAAAAAAGAAATTAATTTTATGAAATCTTCGACGGAGAACTAATATGATCCTAGCACACAGGGCACAAGAAAAGATTGGTATGGCAATGTTGAAATCAAGAAGTCTAGGAGATACAATAGATACGATCCGTTTATATTTGCTCAACAGGCCGAGCAGGTGTATTATACATCCTATCCGGGGGATGAACAAGAATGGATGGGGGTAATTAAAACCAAAACACGTAACATTATCCCAGTGACAACAGTAAAAGAAACCGATCAAATTGACAATCCTTACCAAGATGATTATGTTGGGGAGATTCCTGTACACATTGCTGATTATGACATCCTTGTTGACACTATGGCTGAATTAGAGACAATCCCCGCATATCGCATTGATAGTGATGACACGAACATTGAGGAACCACAATTCTTGTCATCATCTGAATCGGAACATGACGATTATGAGACTGAGGAAACTGAAGAAGAAGACATAGTTTTGAATGAAGATTCAGAATTAAATGCCAATTATAAACAATCATTTTGATGTGTAGGATCATGATTGTTTGTTTGTGGTCATATTTCTTGTAATATGTCAGCTGTAGTTGTCATTGTTGTAATATTTGATATATCGTATACTTATCTTTGGATGTATTGTTAATTTTGATGACATATTTTGTAACATTGGATGCCATTCAAGTTCATTGATGCATAATATTTATACATGTTCACAGATGATCAATTGTTATGGAGATTGTAATGGTAAACTGAAATATTAATCAAGTATGTTTCTTATGCAGATGAAGGCATTTGACCCTACACATGGTAGGGGTAGAGGTAAGGATAGTTCCTCTCTACGTACATATGGACGAGGGGCCATTAGAGGTCAAGGGCAGGACCACACATCATTGTCTTCACGTCTGCAAACAACATCACCAGATGCACAATCACCACCATCGGCAGTCGAAGAGACATCAGAATCATTTGTACCTTCAACTGAAGAGGAAAATGAGGTTATCTGAAAATATATGCATATATTCTACATTGATTCTACAATTGCAGGGTACAGTTGCACAGCAAGAGGAGAAGGCTACACAACAGCAGAAAAAGGTTGACCAACAGAATAGTGTAATGCTTATGATGCAAAGGCGAATGGACACCATGGAGAAGCTTTTGCGAAGGCTTCCTGTGGAATTATTAGAGACTGAGGATGACGACGAGACTCAGCCCCCGTCTCAGGACCTAGGTGATGACCACGATCATGCAGGTCATCCACCAGCATGACTTTTGTATCTTTGTTGGATGTATATGACCGGGACTATTGTCCATAGACTATTTTGATTAGTATATGACAGAGACTTTTGTATATGTATGTCCCTGTTTGATTAGTATATGTCTTGGACATTTATACATATAGGACTCTATTGATTTGTATATGACAGGGGACTTTTGTATATGTATGTCCCTTTTGATTAGCATATGTCTTGGACATTTTTAGATATAGTACTCTTTTGATTAGTATATGATAGGGACTTTTGTATATGTATGTCCCTATTGATTAGTATATGTCTTGGACATTTATATATATAGGACTCTTTTGATTTGTATATGACAGGGGACTTTTGTATATGTATGTCCCTTTTGATTAGCATATGTCTTGGACATTTTTAGATATAGTACTCTTTTGATTAGTATATGATAGGGACTTTTGTATATGTATGTCCCTATTGATTAGTATATGTCTTGGACATTTATATATATAAGTCTGTTTTGATTAGTATATGATAGGGATTTTTGTACACATAATTATATTAAAATCATATAATTGTGATATGTTACTTTCATTATATTTGTTTATCAGGTGTGAAACATAAATTGATATTAATTTTGTAGAGAAGAAAATATTCAACGGAATTTTATGAATTTTTTGTCGAAAATTTTCGACGGAATTTGTTTTTCGTCGAAAATTATTAAAAGATTTATCGACGAAATTTCATTCATTTTCCGTCGAAAATTTTCGACAGAATTTATTTTCCGTCGAAAATCATTAAAAGATTTTTCGACGGAATTTCATTCAATTTCCCTCGAAAAATTTCGACAGAATTTATTTTTCGTCGAAAATTTTCGACAGAATTTATTTTCCGTCGAAAATTATTAAAAGATTTTTCGACAGAATTTCTTTCATTTTTCGTCGAAAAATTTCGACAGAATTTTTTTTTTCAGTCGAAAAATATTAAAAGATTTTTCGACGGAATTACATTCATTTTCCGTCAAAAAATTTCCACAAAAATTGTTGTTCGTCGAAAATTGATACAAGATTTTTTGACGGAATTTCATTCATTTTCCGTCGAAATTTTCCACAGAAATTATTCCGTTGAAAAAATTCGACGGAATCTCTAATTCCGTCGAAAAATTTGTTACCTACGAAGACTTATTCGACGGCTTCTTTTCCGTCGAAAATTCCGTCGAAAATGTCATTTTCGACGGAATTTTTATCATTTTCGACAG